GCCGCGGTGCCAGCGGGGCCCTGCCCGCCTCGGGCCTCTCGGGTGCCCGGCGCAGGGGGGGGTTGCTGATGGCCACCTTGATGACGTGCTCCTTCACGGTCAGCCCGTCCATCTTCAGCACAGCCTGTGAGGCCTGAGCTTCATTTTCATACTCCACATAAGCCAGGCCCTGAAAAAGCCCAAGGGAAACAATGTTAGCTTTAGTTTTGTCTCTGCACGACAGGGAAGAGTTTGGGCGACTCGCTAGAAAACGCTACACAGAAGAGCTCTAAACTTGCCTAAAAGTCCCAATATTCAGCTAAAAAAAATCCCAAATATTCTTATCTACACAAATGGATGACCTGCATTTTTTGATTCTCATTCACAATACCCTAACTTGTGGAAGACAAAGAAAATAAACCCAAGGTCTCACTGGATATAACAAAGCGCTGTGTCAGTGGCAAGTCTTCAGTTCTATTACAGACATCTCCAGGCTGAACCTGGTGCTGGATAGATTTGGATTCATAGTGGAAGAAAAGATAAATCATAAAATCCCAGCATGGTGGGGTGGGAAGGGACCAGCAGGGTGCCCAGGGTCACAGCCAGGTGGGTTGGGGAATCTCTCCAGAGCAGGAGACTCCCCAGCCTCTCTGGGCAGCTGCTCCAGGCTCTGCACCCTCACACCAAAGAAGTTTCTCCTCCTGGTTAGATGGAACCTCCTGGGTGCCAGTTTGTTCCCATTGCCCCTTGTCCTGTCACTGGGCATCACTGATAAGAGTCTATTCCCATCCTCTTGCCCCTCAGGGGCCCTTTAGCTCTTGCTCAGCACTGCTCAGATCCCCTCTGAGGCTTCTCTTCTCCAGCTCAGCAGCCCCAGGGCTCTCAGCCTGTCCTGGCACAGAGATGCTCCAACCCCTCAGCATCAATGTATGGATCTAAAGAGAAAGATCCACACAAGCTCTCCTGGGATTCTTTACTAAGCTACAGCTCCTACTTAAGGAACCAAGCCCCTAACCCAGGGCCACTGCAGCCACCTGGCTTCCAAGACCAACAAAACCCATCCTGAGCAGCTCTGACAGGCACCATCCCTAAACAAGACTGGCACTGCTGTGCTGAGAAGCAGGACTGGCAACACAAGTGCTTTCTGGAGGAAATAGATCCATGCTGACTTCATGTGGTAACCAGCTGCTGGTGCCCCTCTGCCAACAGTCTTCTTTCCAGCAAATGGACAAAAGGTCCCTGTCCACCAGCTGGGAGGCAGCACCTCTTGGTTCTGCTGTTGTTGTTCTTTTAAATAACATTCAAACCTCTAAAGCTTTATTTTTGGACTATCCAGTTTCACAGGAAATGCATCAGGTTTGGTGGACTCAGCAGTGTTAACAGTTGGACTTGATCTTAGAGGTCTTTTCCAACCAAAATGATTCTATTTAACCTTCCAAATACATTTATTTGAGGTTTAGACAGAATCCCAGCTCAAGCTAAGCTCAGAATGTGGATGGCAAGACTTGGGGTACAGAGGAGCATGCTCATTACCAGGTAGTTACTTCATTTGAGATATTGCCAAGAGATAGAACATAAATTATAAAAATACACACAGCTCATCACCAGGATGTCACCTGGCAGAAGTGCCTGACATGCAGAGGTGGCCAAGGTCTCAGGTAGAATTCTGGCAGAGCAGCAGTTGGTTTAGAATCTCCTATTGAACAAGGAGTCATTTATTCCAGGAGGGAAATAAGGAGCCCTGTCAGAGAGAGGTGGCTCCTTTCTCACTGGCAAATCTCCTCCTGCAGCTGCTGGAATGAACAATAGCCTCAAGAAACTGCACAACAGGAGGAGAGGGATCAGTTATAGCAGGTGAAACCCATCTAGTCAGTCATTTAAAAACCCATTCCTTTGCAGACTTAGTAATGCCTGTTTTTACTACACTGAAAGGGCTGTAAACATCTTTCCCTCCATCCTATTTATACAACATGTTCTTGTTCAGCTTAAATAGGGTTTTTTTTGGAAAAATCTTCTTCCCCTCCTAGTTATTTGTTGGCACAAAGGCATGTTGGGCTTATCAGGCCAAGAATTTCTACAAGATTCAATGCAATGCTAGGCTGGCAAGCTAGAAAAGAAAAAAGAAATAATCTAAACCCCACTTTTTGTGTCCACACTTCATGAAGAGCTGCTTTTGGATGCTTTTTTTGCATTTTTCTTCCAATGAATTAAGCATGGAGGACGCCCACCTTGGGTTTTCCAGCTCTGTTGGTGACCAGCCGGATGTCTTTGACATTTCCATGGGCTTTACACAGGTCCTCCAGCTCTTCCTTAGTGCAGGAAAATGGCAAACCTGATATAAACAGTTTGTGTTTCTCCAGGGTAGTGCTATACCTGAACACCTGGATAAAGAAAAAGGGTGTTAGATGCCAAGCTAGCCAACAACTCCAAGGATTTCACCCTATGACACCTCCAAAAGCTCATCCAGAGTACTTCATATATCTATGATATAAAACCACCACCAAGTCATGAGTAGCAACCCAAAAGATACTTGCATACAAAGGCCCAGGAGTACACTAAGAACCTGCAAGTAATTCCAAAAACTGAGATGCTTCTTTGGGTCACAACCACCCCCTGCAACACTCCAAACGTGGGGCAGAGCAGCTGGAAACTGCCTGGCAGAAAAGGGCCTGGGGGTGTTGGTCAGCAGGGGGGGGGAGGGGAGCCAGCACGTGCCCAAGTGGCCAAGGAGGCCACCAGCATCCTGGCTTGGGTCAGCACTAGTGTGGCCAGCAGGACTATGGCAGGGATTTGTCCCCCTGGACTTGGCACTGGGGAGGCCACAGCTTGAACCCTGGGCTCAGTTTTGGGTCCCTCACCCCAAGAAGGACCTTGAGGGGCTGGAGCGTGGCCAGAGAAGGGCAACAGAGCTGCTGGGGAAGGGTCTAGAGGCCAAGTGTGGGGAGGAGCAGCTGAGGGAGCTGGGGGTGCTGAGCCTGGAGCAAAGGAGGCTCAGGGGAGACCTTCTGGCTCTGCACAGCTCCTGACAGGAGCCTGGAGCCAGGGGGGGGTCGGGTTCTGCTCCCAAGGGACAACAGGACAAGAGGAAAAAGCCTCAAGCAAGCATCTGGGGACAGAGTCCTGCAAATCTGGAACAAACCACTGTTCAACATCTTCCTTGAAAGACTAAAACCTTACCTTAAAGTCTGGATTCTTGTTCTTGTCAACACAAGGAGAAACAAACATGGGCCTCCCCTCCACAGCCGTACGATCCAAGGCAAGAGCTTGGAGAGCAGATTTTTCTTCCTTGAATTCCACGTAGCAGTAGCCCCGGAATGTCCCCTTGTTGCTGAACACTGGTCTGATCTCTGCCACCTCCCCACAGCTCTGGAAAAGCTCCTTCAGCTTCTCCTGGGGGTCTGCCATGCTGTAGGCCAGGTTGCTGACGAAGACGGTGACGTGATCTTTGCTGCTGTCATGGAAAACTTTGGGGATGTCTTTTCGACTGGTCGATGCCTTTTCCTTTGGGTTGGCTGGGTCTGTTTTTGGTTTTTCAGGTCCACTTCTTCCAAACAACCCCATTTCCACCTCCATGTCTTCTTCAGGAAGCAGCCCATCACCCTCTCCCTTGTGTCTCTTGCGGGCCTGCTCTGTTGAGGAAAGACACAGAGATCTTGCTAGAAAAAAAAACACTGACACCCTTCCATGCAAATTAAATTGTGCTTCATTAACACTACAGACTGGAATTGGCACCACAAATACAGCCAAAACCTCCCTCAGGGTTTTAATCA